TCTGATGAAGATTTAATTTCCTCGTGTTTACCATATCTGAGTAATTGAAATTTCTCATCGTTGAACTTCATATTGTTTTCTGCAGCCCACTGAAAGATTTGGTTGATGTCCGCCTGGAGCCTTGCAGTGTCTGCAATGGAAGACACTGTCATGCAGATTTGGGTGTCATCTGCAAAGGAAGACACGGTGCTGTGGCTGACATCCTTGTCTATGTCGGATATGAGGATGAGGAACAAGATGGGAGCGAGTACTGTGCCTTGTGGAACAGAGCTTTTCACCGTAGCTGCCTCGGACTTTACTCTGTTGACGACTACTCTCTGTGTTCTGTTAGTGAGGAAATTATAGATCCATCGACCGAGTTTTCCTGTTATTCCTTTAGCACGCATTTTGTGCGCTATTACGCCATGGTCACACTTGTCGAAGGCTTTTGCAAAGTCTGTATATATTACATCTGCATTCTTTTTATCTTCTAGTGCATTTAAGACCTTGTCGTAGTGATCCAATAGTTGAGACAGACAGGAGCGACCTGTTCTAAAACCCATGTTGCCCTGGGTTGTGTAACTGATGGGTTTCTAGATGGGTGGTGATCTTGCTTCTTAGGACCCTTTCAAAGATTTTTATGATATGGGATGTTAGTGCTATTGGTCTGTAGTTCTTTGCTGTTGCTTTACTGCCCCCTTTGTGGAGTGGGGCTATGTCTGTTGTTTTTTAGTAACTGTGGGAGACCCCCGTGTCCATGCTCCCTCTCCATAGGATGGAAAAGGCTCGTGATAGGGGCTTCTTGCAGTTCTTGATGAACACGGAGTTCCATGAGTCTGACCCTGGGGCAGAGTGCATGGGCATGTCATTTATCGCCTGTTCGAAGTCATTTGGCGTCAGGATAACATCGGATAGGCTTGTGTTAATCAAATTTTGTGGCTCTCTCATAAAAAATTCATTTTGATCTTCGACTCTCAGTCTGGTTAGCGGCTTACTAAAAACTGAGTCATATTGGGACTTGAGTAGCTCACTCATTTCCTTGCTGTCATCTGTGTAGGACCCATCTTGTTTAAGTAGGGACCCAATACTGGACGTTGTTCTCGACTTTGATTTGGCATAGGAGAAGAAATACTTTGGGTTTCTTTCGATTTCATTTATGGCTTTTAGTTCTTCCCGCGATTCCTGACTCCTAAAGGATTCCTTTAGCTTAAGTTCGATGCTTGCTATTTCTCTGACCAGTGTCTCCCTACGCATTTCAGATATATTGACCTCTTTTAGCCGCTCTGTTATTCTTTTCCGTCGCCTGTATAGGGAGCGCCTGTCTCTTTCTATTTTACATCTACCCCTCCTTTTTCTTAGAGGAATAAGTCTTGTGCATACATCGAGTGCCACCAAGTTAATCTGTTCTAGGCATAAGTTGGGGTCTGTGTTGCTTAGTATATCTTCCCAGCTTATATCGGTTAGGACCACAACACAAGACACAGATCTCTTTTTGATATACCTCGTGTCCATATCACACTGTGTAAAAACTCTATGCACATAAAGGGCCCCAAAATATGGAATTCATTACCAGAAGATATTAGAGTAACCCAGTCTGAAAATCAATTTAGGACTCTTCTCAAAAGCCACTCAATCACCCTAGACTAAACGCCAATACTCACTTATGTTCTCCCACGTCATAACTTCAACAATCACTTTGAACCTTTTATCCATTGTCGACAGGAAAATAATTGAATTATTGTTTTCACAAAAAGCATTTTTGAATAGATGAATTTATCTTTTATCTTATACAAATTTTGATTCACTTATAATTAATAATCAACTGTTCAACTATGAAATAATTACTATCCTACTGTGCAACTATGATATAATCCTTAGTGTTAAGTAGACTGTAAGTCAATATTATGCCTAGGCATAATAGAGGCTCTCTGCATTGCAACCCACTATTGTAAATACAAAATCTCAATGTACTGTTTGCAAAGACAAAAAAAAAAAATAATATATATATATATATATATATATATATATATATATATTATATATATATATATATATATATATATATATATATATATAATATATATATATTATATTCTTATTACTACTAAAAAATCAGTCATAATTAGGTTGAAATTTCTTCTATAAAAAACATTCATTCATCTATTCGATGCAAAATATGGATACACCAAGATTTCAGATATATTTTTATTTACAATGAGGTGTTTTGCCATACCCCGCAAGGTCTGCATGGAGGTGCCTCTGAAAGGTTGGATGTTTGGACACTAAAATATAATGCTCCAGTGTATGATACTGTCTCTGTCTAAACACAATGTCCAACACAGTCTCCCAGCACACACTCAAATGCTGCCATTGTTTCATCTTGGCAAGGAAGAATCCCTGTATACCGTGCTCTTGGGAGTAAACTCGAGCACAATTGCCCATGCTTTCATGAAACCTGTGAATAATGCAATTTGTATTAGCTACACAGCAAAATAATGTAACAAGATACTGCACACTGATGCAGGTTACTTCGCAGGGCTGGTTCGGTTACCTTTACCAGGAGGTTGCTTATCAACATTCCGTTGTTCTTCAGCAATATCCTGCAAAATTTAAGAGGCCTTGCAAATGAGTTCATATCCAAATAATAATAATAATAATAATAATAATAATAATAATAATAATAATAATAATAATAATAATAATAAATAATAATAATAATAATAATAATAATAATAATAATAATAATTAATATAATAATTAATAATGATAATAATAATAATAATAATAATAATAATAATTAATAACAATAATAATAATAATAATAATAATAATAATAATAATAATAATAATAATAATAATAATAATAATAATAATAATAATAATAATAATAATAATAATACAATGTATTAATAATAACAGAGTTTTAATGTACTTCAGTGTACGATAATGAAGGGTTATAGTAGAATAAGACTCAGAGTCCATAGAGCATCCTTCTTAACGTGAGGCTCTATATATGAAAAACTGGATGGTTTACGACAGACCTATGATAATGGAATTGTGTCCAGCAGAAGCGCATAAATCCAACACAGTCGCCCTTCTCAGGTACCAGGACCAAAACTGGAATCATTTCTGAAGGACCTTAAAAAGAGACTTTTAATTAGTATACACTTGAATAGTTTTTCCAGTAATATACAAGCCACCTAACTGGAAAATGTTATTGAGTATACAGTAGACTGTGCACCAAGAGATGACCTTATTTTTGTATACTTGTCCCCCATTTAACAAATATTTATGTAACATAATTTTGCATAAGGACCAAAAGAAAACCCTTCAGAACTTCCCAGTAAAACAAATATATTTAGCTCGTACAATAACCTCATGCCAGGTGACTCACTCACAAACTTTAAAGATGCAAACAATGTTACAGTATAATGGGAGGAAATGTGATGGGACGGGCAGAAGGAAGGGGAAGAGAAGGTAGATCCAGTTCTGGTGAGTACATGTAGTTTTGATTTTGTATATAAAATAAATTAATGAAATTTGATATGCGATATTTTGATTTATATATTCCGCACAAGCTTATTGATATATATTTTTTTGTTTTGTTTTAATTTAGGGAGAAAGTAAATGGTATGAATGTTACCAATAAATTTTGTGGTGTGAGCTGTCTTCATGCTGCAGTCAGCATGAACTGTTGTGATTCCCAATTGATACATCTTAATGATACGGTCTGGAGTTTTTTTAATCGTATCATAGCACTGCAGAATGATGGTTGAAAACAAGTTGAGGAAGCAGCAGTGAGTGATGATGGAGTGTTGGGTGATGAGGGTAGTGGCAGTAGTGATGGAGTACTTCATGTCAGTTGGCCACCTAAGAGCAATGCTCAGTACAGCAGCATATTTAGGCACGATGCACATATTAGACACAAGGCCTAAAAACACTTTAACTGTCTCATCTTCATTTTACAGCCTCGTGAAATTATAAGATTTGTGGTAATTTTCCATTATTCTGGCAAACGTTTACAGCCATATAATGAGTCTAATGAATCAGTGGGTTCATTATAACATTAGTTACAGTTTAGTGGGAACTAATTCAATTTGCTTTGAAGTCCACTCCTGAAGTGCAGATATTCGATATATACTGACATCTGTGGTATCTGTAAGTAAATTATAGGCTAGGAAGAACACTACCTAGTATGACTGAGCACCACTACATAGCATGAGCAATAAATACATTATAGCGGCAATAAGTCTACGACATAGCGTGAACCAGGAAGCACACTGCACAGTATGAGAGCCAGCAAGAGCTGCATAGTTTTTCAAGAGGTACTGCATAGCGCGAGAACCAGCAAGCACTATTATTATAATTATAATCATGGAGGAGCGCTAAACCCGTAGGATATTACAATCTGCAAGCACTGTGCTTAGCGTAAATACCAGTAGGTCTACAGTAGTGCTTCACCATTCTTATGTTCATATGTTCCAATATCGTGAGAGGCAGCAGGCACACTGCATAATGTGAGAGGCAGCACGCACACTGCATAATGTGAGAGGCAGCACGCACACTGCATAGCGTGAGAGGCAGCATGCACTGCATAATGTGAGAAGCAGCAAACATACTGCATAGCGTTAGCGGCAGCAAGCACATTGCATAGCGCGAGAGGCAGCAAACATACTGTATAGTGTGAGAGGCAGCAAACATACTGTATAGTGTGAGAGGCAGCAAACATACTGTATAGTGTGAGAGGCAGCAAACATACTGTATAGTGTGAGAGGCAGTAAGTACTGCATAGTGTGAGAGGCAGCAAGCACACTGCATAGGATAAGAGGCAGCAAACATACTGCATAATGTGAGAGGCAGCAAGCACATTGCATAGGGTGAGAGGCAGCAAACATACCGCATAGCGTGAGAGGCAGCAAGCACATTGCAATGCATGAGTGGCAGTAAGCACACCGCATAGCGTAAGAGGCAGCAAGCACACCGCAAAGCGTGAGAGGCAGCAAGCACATTGTACCGTCACTTGTAGCTGTGTGGGTCAGGCAGCGCGTCGCGATCAATAACTCCCCCACACGAGCTACACACTCCGGGGTCTCGACTACTACCCGTTACTCCTCCAGCTTTCATTTGTCATTCACAGTGAATGCTGGACAGAAACTGCGCCAGGAAAACCTGTAATATGCGGAAATCAGTGTGATAAGTGAAGGCATTCATGTTGCTGCCGTGATGGGTGTAGCAACTCATGGAAGTGGATAATGTTTAGTAGACAGTGATGGTGCGGGACACGCCAGGGATGGCGGAGCATACGCCAGAAGAGGAGGGTAAGTCACTCCTTCCTCCATGGGGTACAACCTAGGCAAGGGCACAGCCTACAGGGGTAGGTACACTTTCCTTCCATGGGCACAGGCTAGGTAGGGACATAATCTATAGAGATATTGATAAGTTATTCTTGTTTTCAATGGGCACAGCCTATACAGGTATACTTAAATCATTTGTGTTTCCATTAGTATGGCCTGGGCTGGGGGCACAGCCTACAAGGGTATACGCACTTCACTGTTGTTTTTCCATATGTACAACGCGCAGAGTCTACAGGGAAATGCGTAAGTTACTCCTATGGGAACAGCAAATACAGGGGCACAGCCTGCAAAGGTGTCCATTAATATTGCACAGCTACCTTCCATGGTCACAGCTTAGGCAAGGGCAAAACCAACACAGTTATCTGCGGGAATGAGAAAGCGTGACTCAAGGTAACGTAATGGTTGTTAGATGACACCATTGTTATGTCATGCGTTTTTTCTTATCATGCTGATCATAGCACATCATGGCCACACTGGTTATGCAGCATTCGAAAAAAAAATTGAGTGTAGTGGTACCAACACCACTGTATGGTTGTGAATCGTGGGTTGTGAATGGCAGCGAAGAGGAACCTGGAGACAGCAGTCACTGTACTTTCCACCTCCAGAACCCAAGCCGAATCCCTTCACAAAATGTTACCTTACTCACACTCCAATAGCTCGTCAAGTCCCAAAAACCATTTGCTTCCCCTCACTCCTGTCATACACGTTCACACACATACCTACTGGATGTCCAAGCCCCTCGCACACAAAACCTCCTTTACCCCTTTCCAAGGGCGACCCCCCACCATACCTTCCATCCACTACAGATTTATACACCCTCCAAGTCAACCTATGTTGTTCCATCCTTTCTAAATATCCGAACCACCTCAACAACCTCTCTTCAGCCCTCTGGATAATGCGTTTAGTAATTCCGGACCCCCTAATCTCCAAGTTACGAATTCTCTGCATAATAATCACACCACACATTCCCCTTAGACACATCTCTACTGTCTCCAGCTTCTTCCTCGCGGCAACATTCACTAGGCCTTTCGTGTTGTAATCAACACATCATCAGGAGCTTGCAGGGTTGCAGAAAAGAGGATGAGGTCCAAGCAAATACGATCACAGGAAGCGCCTTTGTTGGGGTGAGCTCACTCCGGCATCCGCCATATGTATATGTGTGTGTGTGTGTGTGTGTGTGTGTGTGTGTGTGTGTGTGTGTGTGTGTGTGTGTGTGTGTGTGTGTGTGTGTGTGTGTGTGTGTGTGTGTGTGTGTGTGTGTGTGTGTGTGTGCGCGCGCGCGCGCGTGTGTGCGTGTGCGCGTGTGTGTGTATGTGCGTGCGTGTGCGCTGCACCTTTGCTAACTTGTCAACTGGATCGCTCTTTGTAAAGTCAGTAGAAGAGTCCATAACTTGAATTGTTACTGTTTTACTCTCATATCTGGAAAGATAAGTGATGACAGCTAGTGTGTGTTGTATTGTGGGTGCGATATGTGAGAAGACTCAGCCAGGAGGCCAGAGATAATACCACTAATGATAAGGTATATTGTGTCTAGTTCCTGAAGCTAGTATGTAGCCTTCAGTAATGCCGTGAGTAACGCGGTGCTTTGTGTGGTTAAGCCCAGTCATGGACTGAGTTATTCTATGTAGTGCACACTTATTTTTATATTCACACAAGAGCTCTAATCCCTTGTGAGCTACTCAACTCTTGCATATTAAAGAGGTATTTACCTTAATGATTTGGAGGATTAATACGATGTGTAGATATATCTTTCTCTATACGTAGAGAATGTAGATACTACACGCTTCCTCTCTATTTAGCGCACGTAAATACATCTTCCTCTGAAAAATTAGACACGTGCAACATCTGGGTATCTTTATTGTAGACATTTCGCTATCCAGTGGTTTATCAATACAAATTCAAGGACATAATTGGAAGATAGAAGAACTATATTCAAATTATGTCCTTGAATTTGTATTGATAAAGTCACTGGATGGCAAAACGTTTACAATAATGATACCCAGATGTTGCACATGTGTCTAATTTTTCATCTTGTGGGTACTGTATACCGTTCATGTACATCTTCCTCTCTACCTAGGGCATGTAGATACATATTAATAATAATATCTTCATCTCTACAAGTACATGTACAAGGTATACAGGCAGGGAGACACTGGTCAGAGAAATAGCAAGCATCGAACTTAAGCTAAAAGAATCCTTTAGGAGTCAGGAATCGCGGGAAGAACTAAAAGCCATAAATGAAATCGAAAGAAACCCAAAGTATTTCTTCTCCTATGCCAAATCAAAATCGAGAACAACGTCCAGTATTGGGCCCCTACTTAAACAAGATGGGTCCTACACAGATGACAGCAAGGAAATGAGTGAGCTACTCAAGTCCCAATATGACTCAGTTTTTAGCAAGCCGCTAACCAGACTGAGAGTCGAAGACCAAAATGAATTTTTTATGAGAGAGCCACAAAATTTGACTAACACAAGCCTATCCGATGTTATCCTGACGCCAAATGACTTCGAACAGGCGATAAATGACATGCCCATGCACTCTGCCCCAGGGCCAGACTCATGGAACTCTGTGTTCATCAAGAACTGCAAGAAGCCCCTATCACGAGCCTTTTCCATCCTATGGAGAGGGAGCATGGACACGGGGGTCGTCCCTCAGTTACTAAAAACAACAGACATAGCCCCACTCCACAAAGGGGGCAGTAAAGCAACAGCAAAGAACTACAGACCAATAGCACTAACATCCCATATCATAAAAATCTTTGAAAGGGTCCTAAGAAGCAAGATCACCACCCATCTAGAAACCCATCAGTTACACAACCCAGGGCAACATGGGTTTTAGAACAGGTCGCTCCTGTCTGTCTCAACTACTGGATCACTACGACAAGGTCCTAAATGCACTAGAAGACAAAAAGAATGCAGATGTAATATATACAGACTTTGCAAAAGCCTTCGACAAGTGTGACCATGGCGTAAATAGCGCACAAAATGCGCGCATAAAGGAATAACAGGAAAAGTCGGTCGATGGATCTATAATTTCCTCACTAACAGAACACAGAGAGTAGTCGTCAACAGAGTAAAGTCCGAGGCAGCTACGGTGAAAAGCTCTGTCCCACAAGGCACAGTACTAGCTCCCATCTTGTTCCTCATCCTCATATCCGACATAGACAAGGATGTCAGCCACAGCACCGTGTCTTCCTTTGCAGATGACACCCGAATCTGCATGACAGTGTCTTCCATTGCAGACACTGCAAGGCTCCAGGCGGACATCAACCAAATCTTTCAGTGGGCTGCAGAAAACAATATGAAGTTCAACGATGAGAAATTTCAATTACTCAGATATGGTAAACATGAGGAAATTAAATCTTCATCAGAGTACAAAACAAATTCTGGCCACAAAATAGAGCGAAACACCAACGTCAAAGACCTAGGAGTGATTATGTCGGAGATCTCACCTTCAAGGACCATAACATTGTATCAATCGCATCTGCTAGAAAAATGACAGGATGGATAATGAGAACCTTCAAAACTAGGGAGGCCAAGCCCATGATGACACTCTTCAGTCACTTGTTCTATCTAGGCTGGAATATTGCTGCACTCTAACAGCACCTTTCAAGGCAGGTGAAATTGCCGACCTAGAAAATGTACAGAGAACTTTCACGGCGCGCATAACGGAATAAAACACCTCAATTACTGGGAGCGCTTGAGGTTTCTAAACCTGTATTCCCTGGGAACGCAGGAGGGAGAGATACATGATTATATACACCTGGAAAATCCTAGAGGGACTAGTACCAAACTTGCACACGAAAATCACTCACTACGAAAGCAAAAGACTTGGCAGACGATGCACCATCCCCCCAATGAAAAGCAGGGGTGTCACTAGCACGTTAAGAGACCATACAATAAGTGTCAGGGGCCCGAGACTGTTCAACTGCCTCCCAGCACACATAAGGGGGATTACCAACAGACCCCTGGCAGTCTTCAAGCTGGCACTGGACAAGCACCTAAAGTCAGTTCCTGATCAGCCGGGCTGTGGCTCGTACGTTGGTTTGCGTGCAGCCAGCAGCAACAGCCTGGTTGATCAGGCGCTGATCCACCAGGAGGCCTGGTCACAGACCGGGCCGCGGGGGCGTTGACCCCCGAAACTCTCTCCAGGTAACTCCAGGTTAGGTGACATCACTGATGTACTAATTTATACAAAGTCGCTTGTTATGCAAAGCCTTTCGGACAAATTAGGTCAATTTTGTCCCAGGTACCCATTTTACTAATGGGTGAACATGGGCAGCAGGTGTTTTATGGAAACACGTCCTATTGTTAACGAGGAGCTGATCAAAATATCGACTTGGATGACAGCCAATAAACTTACGCTTAACACTGACAAAACCTACTACATTATGTTTGGTAGCAGAGCAGGAGATGCGCAAATTAACATTAAGATCGACAGCACTCTAATTGCCAGGCATAATGAGGGCAAATTCCTAGGCCTATACCTCGACAACAACCTGAATTTCAGCACCCATATCCAACACATAACCAAAAAAGTATCCAAAACGGTTGGGATCCTCTCCAAGATACGATACTACGTGCCGCAAACTGCCCTTCTCACACTATACCATTCACTTATATATCCATACCTCACCTATGCTGTCTGTGCTTGGGGTTCAACTGCAGCAACACACCTAAAGCCAATAATAACCCAACAAAAAGCCGCAGTAAGAATAATCACTAAATCCCATCCCTGGCAACACCCCCCCCCCACTCTTCATAGATCTAAACTTACTCCCTGTTCAGTACATCCACACTTACTACTGTGCAATCTACATCTACAGGACCTTAAATTCCAATATTAATATTGACCTAAAACGCTTTCTTGATAGTTGTGACGGAACCCACAGGCATAACACCAGACACAAACATCTCTATGACATTCCCCGTGTCCGACTAAACCTTTACAAAAATTCAATGTATGTCAAAGGCCCTAAAATCTGGAACACCCTACCTGAAAACTCTAGAACTGCAGACACATTCATCACCTTCAAAACTACCATCAGAAAACATCTTATCTCCCTGATACACCCCGTCAACTAACTACACGAATACCACCTGGTGGTTCACACTTACACTCACTCACCCATTTGACCATAAACAGAAATATCAATCTCAGTCTTAAAATAATGAATCTTAACTAGTCATAAGTGATACTCCAATACTGAAACTATGTATAGTGCCAAAACAAAAGCATTCACATTACTGAACTCACAAACTAGTATTTAGTCACTTAGCCATAATACCAACTTACCTCATAATTTTGTAATATTTTAAACTTAAGATTTAATCTAAGTCTGCCCGAAATACCTAGCCATGCTAGGTGTTCTAGTGGTACACTCTGTAATTATTATACTACTACATGTAAACCACACAATAACCAAATTCTGTAAACTCAGCATTGTAATCCTTATAGAGAATAAACTTTGAATTGAATATATCCGGCCGTACTGGAAATCGACCCCCGGACTTCAATGTGTAAGCTGAGTGCCCTAGCAATGGAGCTACGGGACACCATCTACCTAGCGCATGTAGATTCGTCTTCCTCTCTACCTAACGCATTGTGCAAGAATGGTATGTATTACCGACAAGATGAAATTAAGACACACGTGCAACATCTGGGTATGTTTATCGTAGACGTTTCGCCATCCAGTGGATTTATCAATACAAATTCTAGGACATAACTTGAAGACAGTAGGACTATATACAGATGAGGTAATCAGTCCCTCAACCTAGGAGTAGGTGCGAAGAGCACCGTAGTCTTGGAGATTCTTTCAGAATCTCCAAGACTAGTACATAGTCTTGGAGATTCTTTCAGAATCTCCAAGACTACGGTGCTCTTCGCACCTACTCCTAGGTTGAGGGACTGATTACCTCATCTTCTGTATATAGTCCTACTGTCTTCAAGTTATGTCCTAGAATTTGTATTGATAGACCCACTGGATGGCGAAACGTCTACAATAAAGATACCCAGATGTTGCACATGTGTCTTAATTTCACCTAACGCATTACTGAGTTACCGTAGTTTACTACAACAGTAGTATCAGGTGTTATATTTATCTATAGGTAACTGTCGGTAACGAAATAACATCAAATGGACAACTTAGGTCTGGCAGCGCGGGACACAGTGTTGCTGTTTAAAGCGTTGGTAACAGCACGTGTGTCATCATGGATGAAGATCTGTATCGTCGCCTCGAGTACTGGATTTTCCTCTCCTGACACCTTGACGCTCCCTGGTTATAAATGCGTCACATCACGTCATGTTACTGCCAGTCACTGTGTTATTGTTCAACTCGTCCTTCAAACATCCCATGTTACGGTGCGGCATTTTCTGCAAGATTTAAACCCGCGCTAAACACGGCGTATAAAGAATAAAAAGATAAAATACCCTGACTGGAACAATACACAAATAACCAGTACATAGGAGACTGAAACGTATGACGACGTTTCGGTCCGACTTGGACCATTAACTAGTGATACTCCGTGAGGTGTGTATCTCAGCTTATACACATTGGCAGGTCTGTATGTGTATTTGTGTATGTTCACCCAGAGGTGTATGTCTCAGTGTAGGTACACAAGGTGTATCTACACTGAGACATAAACATCTGTATACATACACTGAGACGTAAACATCTGTATACATATACTAAGACGTAAACATCTGTATACATACACTGAGATGTAAACATCTGTATACATACACTGAGACGTAAACATCTGTATACATACACTGAGACATAAACATCTGTATACATACACTGAGACGTAAACATCTGTATACATACACTGAGACGTAAACATCTGTATACATACACTGAGACGTAAACATCTGTATACATACACTGAGACGTAAACATCTGTATACATACACTGAGGTGTACACCCCTGTATCTGTGTATATACACAGACGTACACCTCTGTGTCTGTGTATATACACTGAGACGTACACCTCTATCTGTGTATATACACTGAAACGTAAACCTCAGTATCTGTGTATCTACACCTATGTATCTGTGTATATAAACATTTGTATCTGTGTATATAAGCCTTTGTATCTGTGTATATAAACCTTTGTATCTGTGTATATAAACATTTGTATCTGTGTATATAAGCCTTTGTATCTGTGTATATAAACCTTTGTATCTGTGCAATATAAACATTTGTATCTGTGTCTACCAACAATCAATATTTGCACCAATAACTCATTACAGTTGTGACCGGGTGTGGAAGTGTGAATTGCTCATTACTCTATAATTTGTTCATGATTGTAGCCAAAGTATAAACGTAAGTAACCATTCTACAGAATTCATTACCTTTGTAACTTGTGAGCTCATTACCTTTGTACCTAGTTCAGCTATCAAAACTTTGGGGGCCCAGTCCCTGGACCCATTACGTACCTCTGTAATCTGTAAATACCTTTGTAACTTGTCATGATTGTGACCAGACTTACCTGGAGTTCATTACCTTTGTAAATTGTGAGTTCATTACCTTTGTAAATTGTGAGTTCATTACCTTTGTAAATTGTGAGTTCATTACCTCTGTAACTTGCTCAGCTATCAAAACTTTGGAGTCCAGTCCCTGGACCAATTATGTACCTCTGTAATCTTTTGACTACCGCCCACAGGATGGGTATGGGGTGCATAATAAACATATTAAACTAACTGTCTACCTGGAGGGCATTCCGGGGATCAACGTCCCCGCGGCCTGGTCTATGGCCAGGGCTCCTGGTGGATCAGTGCCAGATCGGCTGATCTGGCACTGACTTTAGGCATCTGTCCAGCTCCCTCTTGAAGAAAACCAGGGGTCTATTGGTAATTCCCCTTATGGCTGGTGGGAGGCTGTTGAACAGTCTTGGGAACCGGACACTTACTGTGTTTTCTCTTAGTGTACCAGTTGCGCCCCTACTTTTCATTGTGGGTATGTTACACAAAAGGCCTATGAACTAGGCCCCAAAAGGGTTAACAGGTGTACATATGGATTTATATCTACATATCTATAGTTCAATTATCTGTTACAAGCAAATACAAGAAATTTGCTTAGTATATCTGGTATCTTTTTTTTCATTAATAAGATATCTTGACATGTCACATAGGTTATTATACTGTCTGTCTCTGTATTCCTCAATAAGTGGACAATTAAGCACATAGTGTTCAAGACAGTGACCATTTGCCTGATCACATAATTTGCATTTAGTTTGATCATCATCTGTGTGTCTCCCAAACTGCCAGAAGTACTTGTAACCAAGCCTAAGCCTGGCCACTACAACATCAGTCAGTGTTCACATTGCAAGTTGCTCCATAAACATACTTATCTACGTTCATGTTATCATAGTGGGTTATAGATCTACTCAGGCTTCTAACTGCATTCCTATAACAATCATTTTCATTATTTACTTCTCTCCTAATATTATTCCTAATGCTAGACACAAATATACCAAAGTTATATTCTACGTTCTCCTTCTGGGTACTCTTCTTGGCTAACATATCAACTTTATCATGAAGGAGTAATCCAATATGTGATGGGATCCATAGCAATTGTACATTAATTCCTTTGTCCCTAATTTTTGAGTATCTATACCTGGCTTCTCCAATGAGCATGTTGTTGGAGTCATTATATGAGCCAAGAGCCTTCAATGATGACATAGAATCAGTAATGATGATAGAGCATACCTATTATATCTATGTGACTCTGATGGGTTAGTATTATACCCCTTTAAGAATATCTTATCATTTCACATACACTTTTTAAATTACACCAAAGTGGTTGGGCCACTTACCTTTTATATCCTACCTCTCCCCCCCTCCCACCCTTTCCCAATCTTTCCATCCTTACCCATCCTTCTTCCTTACCCATCTTACCAAAGCTCTGGTCATTCAATTCAATTCAATTCAAGTCATGCTCAGTGTCATAAGTTAGCTTTAGCGCCTTAGGATTGCAAACAATTCAGTTTGCAGTGTATATGCCCAGCTGGGACAAAACGGACCTAATTTGCCCGAAATGGTCAGCATAACAAGCGACTTTATAGTAGTATGTCACTGATGTCAGATAGGCCTGCATACCTTGTACATTTACTTGTAGAAATAAAGATATTATTATATTATTATTATATAATTCCTACGAGTTAACCGCTTCCCCACAAATACAATAATAATAATTATTATTGTTTTCAGGAGGGGCAGTAAGTGCAGCAGGGGAGGAAGCTATCAGATTAATCTTGGCTTCACTACGAGAGTCTATGAGAGGAGAGGAGAGTGTTGGTGGCCTGGTCACTCCTTCCATGGATCCTCTACCCGTCGAGAGACACATTATCACTCATCAACACCCTGCACTCAATATTATTGTCAAACTCTACAATATGGGACTTACGGTAAGTCATCTCTCTCTCTCTCTCTCTCTCTCTCTGTTTGTAAGTATATATATATATATATATATATATGTCGTGCCGAATATGTAAAACTGGTCAATTAGCAAGAACTCATTTAAAATTCAGTCCTTTCTGAAATTTTCTCTTATAGGTTTAAAGATATATTTTTTTCATTAATGTTAATGTAAAAAATTTAAATTTTGCACCAAAAAAATCTTAGAAAACTTACCTAACCTTATTATAACAAGAGCAATTTATTTTATCCTAACCCAACTAAATATATTTTAAATACCTTTACAATAATTTAGTACTAAGCAAACACAATCAAATATATTATTTTCGTTAAGTTCAGAATGATTTTGGCGAAATTATTGCATACACAAATTTTCACTTGTCCTATATGGCAAGATGAACGTTGCTATTTAAGCCAAGATCGCAAGGCTGCAGAAAACAATATGAAGTTCAACGATGAGAAATTTCAATTACTCAGGTATGGTAAACATGAGGAAATTAAATCTTCATCAGAGTACAAAACAAATTCTGGCCACAAAATAGAGCGAAACACCAACGTCAAAGACCTGGGAGTGATCATGTCGGAGGATCTCACCTTCAAGGACCATAACATTGTATCAATCGCATCTGCTAGAAAAATGACAGGATGGATAATGAGAACCTTCAAAACTAGGGAGGCCAAGCCCATGATGACACTCTTCAGGTCACTTGTTCTATCTAGGCTGGAATATTGCTGCACACTAACAGCACCTTTCAAGGCAGGTGAAATTGCTGACCTAGAAAATGTACAGAGAACTTTCACGGCGCGCATAACGGAGATAAAACACCTCAATTATTGGGAGCGCTTGAGGTTCCTAAACCTGTATTCCCTGGAACGCAGGAGGGAGAGATACATGATTATATACACCTGGAAAATCCTAGAGGGATTAGTACCGAACTTGCACACGAAAATCACTCACTACGAAAGCAAAAGACTTGGCAGACGATGCACCATCCCCCCAATGAAAAGCAGGGGTGTCACTAGCACGTTAAGAGACCATACAATAAGTGTCAGGGGCCCGAGACTGTTCAACTGCCTCCCAGCACACATAAGGGGGATTACCAACAGACCCCTGGCAGTCTTCAAGCTGGCACTGGACAAGCACCTAAAGTCAGTTCCGGATCAGCCGGGCTGTGGCTCGTACGTTGGTTTGCGTGCAGCCAGCAGCAACAGCCTGGTTGATCAGGCTCTGATCCACCAGGAGGCCTGGTCACAGACCGGGCCGCGGGGGCGTTGACCCCAGGAACTCTCTCCAAGTAAACTCCAGGTTAGTCATTGTGGTAGTCTACAAGCCTCCGGATGCAACATCCCAGCAATTCCAGGAACAGCTGTTAAAAATTGACCACTGTCTGGAAAATCTTCCAGCTCCTGCACCCAACATCTTGCTCCTGGGGGATTTCAACTTAAGGCACCTAAAATGGAGGAATATAGCAAATAATATTGTTGCAGTAATAACACCAGGAGGCAGCTCTCATGAAAACTCACACTCACACGAGCTTTTAAATCTCTGCACAAAATTCAATTTAAACCAGCAAATAATAGAGCCTACTAGACTGGAGAATACACTAGACCTCATTCATCTTCACTAACAATGATGATCTGATAAGAAATGTCACCATATCAAAAAAAATATACTCAATCACAACATAATTGAGGTTCAGACATGTATGCGTGGAGCCCCAGACCGAGATAATGAGATTAGTCACGAGGGAGCATTCACCAAATTCAACTTCAATAACAAAAACATAAAGTGGGACCAAGTAAACCAAGTCCTAACCGATATAAGCTGGGAAGATATACTAAGCAACACAGACCCCAACTTATGCCTAGAACAGATTAACTTGGTGGCACTCGATGTATGCACAAGGCTTATTCCTCTAAGAAAAAGGAGGAGTAGATGTAAAATAGAAAGAGACAGGCGCTCCCTTTACAGGCGACGGAAAAGAATAACAGAGCGGCTAAAAGAGGTCAATATATCTGAAATGCGTAGGGAGACACTGGTCAGAGAAATAGCAAGCATCGAACTTAAGCTAAAGGAATCTTATAGGAGTCAGGAATCGCGGGAAGAACTAAAAGCCATAAATGAAATCGAAAGAAACCCAAAGTATTTCTTCTCCTATGCCAAATCAAAGTCGAGAACAACGTCCAGTATTGGGCCCCTACTTAAACAAGATGGGTCCTACACAGATGACAGCAAGGAAATGAGTGAGCTACTCAAGTCCCAATATGACTCAGTTTTTAGCAAGCCGCTAACCAGACTGAGAGTCGAAGATCAAAATGAATTTTTTATGAGAGAGCCACAAAATTTGATTAACACAAGCCTATCCGATGTTATCCTGACGCCAAATGACTTCGAACAGGCGATAAATGACATGCCCATGCACTCTGCCCCAGGGCCAGACTCATGGAACTCCGTGTTCATCAAGAACTGCAAGAAGCCCTATCACGAGCCTTTTCCATCCTATGGAGAGGGAGCATGACACGGGGTCGTCCCACAGTTACTAAAAACAACAGACATAGCCCCACTCCACAAAGGGGGCAGTAAAGCAACAGCAAAGAACTACAGACCAATAGCACTAACATCCCATATCATAAAATCTTTGAAAGGGTCCTAAGAAGCAAGATCACCACCCATCTAGAAACCCATCAGTTACACAACCCAGGGCAACATGGGTTTAGAACAGGTCGCTCCTGTCTGTCTCAACTATTGGATCACTACGACAAGGTCCTAAATGCACTAGAAGACAAAAAGAATGCAGATGTAATATATACAGACTTTGCAAAAGCCTTCGACAAGTGTGACCATGGCGTAATAGCGCACAAAATGCGTGCTAAAGGAATAACAGGAAAAGTCGGTCGATGGATCTATAATTTCCTCACTAACAGAACACAGAGAGTAGTCGTCAACAGAGTAAAGTCCGAGGCAGCTACGGTGAAAAGCTCTGTTCCACAAGGCACAGTACTCGCTCCCATCTTGTTCCTCATCCTCATATACGACATAGACAAGGATGTCAGCCACAGCACCGTGTCTTCCTTTGCAGATGACACCCGAATCTGCATGACAGTGTCTTCCATTGCAGACACTGCAAGGCTCCAGGCGGACATCAACCAAATCTTTCAGTGGGCTGCAGAAAACAATATGAAGTTCAACGATGAGAAATTTCAATTACTCAGATACGGTAAACACGAGGAAATTAAATCTTCATCAGAGTACAAAACAAATTCTGGCCACAAAATAGAGCGAAACACCAACGTCAAAGACCTGGGAGTGATCATGTCGGAGGATCTCACCTTCAAGGACCATAACATTGTATCAATCGCATCTGCTAGAAAAATGACAGGATGGATAATGAGAACCTTCAAAACTAGGGATGCCAAGCCCATGATGACACTCTTCAGATCACTTGTTCTATCTAGGCTGGAATATTGCTGCACTCTAACAGCACCTTTCAAGGCAGGTGAAATTGCTGACCTAGAAAATGTACAGAGAACCTTCACGGCGCGCATAACGGAGATAAAACACCTCAATTACTGGGAGCGCTTGAGGTTCCTAAACCCGTATTCCCTGGAACGCAGGCGGGAGAGATACATGATTATATACACCTGGAAAATCCTAGAGGGACTAGTACCGAACTTGCACACGAAAATCACTCACAACGAAAGCAAAAGACTTGGCAGACGATGCAACATCCCCCCAATGAAAAGCAGGGGTGTCACTAGCACGTTAAGAGACCATACAATAAGTGTCAGGCCCCCGAGACTGTTCAACTGCCTCCCAGCATACATAAGGGGGATTACCAACAGACCCCTGGCAGTCTTCAAACTGGCACTGGACAAGCACCTAAAGTCGGTTCCTGACCAGCCGGGCTGTGGCTCGTACGTTGGTTTGCGTGCAGCCAGCAGCAACAGCCTGGTAGATCAGGCTCTGATCCACCAGGAGGCCTGGTCACAGACCGGGCCGCGGGGGCGTTGACCCCCGGAACTCTCTCCAGGTAAACTCCAAGTATTCGGCACGACATATATAATATATATATATATTATATATATATATATATATATATATTTATATATATATATATATATATATATATATATATATATATATATATATATATATATATATATATATATATATATATATATATATATTATATATATATATATATATATATATATGTCGTGGCAGAATATGTAAAACTGGTCAATTAGCAAGAACTCATTTAAAATTAAGTCCTTTCTAAAATTTTATCTTATACGTTTAAAGACATATTTTTTTCATTAATGTTGATGTAAAAAATTATAATTTTGCACCAAAAGGAACTTAGAAAACTTACCTAACCTTATTATAAAAAAGAAACAATTTATTTTAGCCTAACCCAACTAAATATATTTTGGATTTGTTTACAATAATTTAATACTAAACAAACACAGTGAAATATATTTTTTCGTTAGGTTCAGAATAATTTTGGCGAAATTATTGCATACACAAATTTTCACTTGTCCTATATGGCAAGATGAGCGTTGCTATTTAAGCCAAGATCGCAAGTTTTGCCTATTCGGCACGACATATATATAATATAATATATATATATATATATATATATATATATATATATATATATATATATATATATATATTATATGTCGTGCCGAATATGTAAAACTGGTCAATTAGCAAGAACTCATTTAAAATTAAGTCCTTTCTAAAATTTTCTCTTATACGTTTAAAGATATATTTTTTTCATTAATATTGATGTAAAAAATTATAATTTTGCACCAAAAGAATCTTAGAAAACTTACCTAACCTTATTATAACAAGCATAATTTATTTTAGAGGAATGGTTCAGAGAACCGACACGTTGTTAAATTAGACACATGTGCAACTCTTGGGTATCTTTATTGAGGAAACGTTTCGCCACACAGTGGCTTCATCAGTCCACATGAAGGATAAACTTGAAGAACAGGAGGAGAATGAGGTAATCAGTCCCTCAACCTTGAGTCGATGTGGTCAGTCCATCAATCTTGAATAGAATACGGCATAGTTAGGTTAGGTTAGGTAAGGTTCGTCAGGAAACAGGACAAATGTTTCCTGACGCGGGTCTTAGTCAGATGATGACCCGCCTTTGGAGCTTTTGGTCATCTGACCGAGGCCTTCCGCTGGCTTACCGGTCTACCCCTTTAAAAATTATGGTCATTTATAACCATTGTATATACGGCATAGGAGCGGAGAAGCAGCTTATAAACCGTATGGTAGGAGAGGTGCAGCAGTCGTAGGTGGTGTCACATTTGTTCTTTGTGGAAGTAGGTCGTGCCCAAGGGTTAGGCAAGCGAAGAATTCCTAAGTATTAAGATCCCAAGAAATTGCAGTGTATGACAGGATTGTAGATGAATGGTTCAAGAACCGACACGTTGTTAAATTAGACACATGTGCAAGAGTTGCACATGTGTCTAATTTAACATAATTTATTTTAGCCTAATCCAACTAAATATATTTTAAATACGTTTACAATAATTTAATACTAAACAAACACAATGAAATATATTTTTTTCGTTAGGTTCAGAATGATTTTGGCGAAATTATTGCATACACAAATTTTCACTTGTCCTATATGGCAAGATGAACGTTGCTATTTAAGCCAAGATCGCAAGTTCTGCCTATTCGGCACGACATATATATCATTAACAGAACTGCGGCTTGGCCGGGACTCGATCCTGCGTTCCCATGCCCGACTCTGTGTAAACTGAACAAAGTACGCATCACTCTCCAGTGGACCAACATCCTCAAACACCAGGAGCCCAGCAGTACTGAGCATGTTATCCTGATGCAAGGACATACATACATATATACTTACTTAATATAGGTTTAATTAATGGGTTGCGTGAGGCGTATTGGCAAGTCTCTTGATATCTACTACACTTTTTTGACCTAACTGTAAGTAGTTCAGGATTTATATTAAAAGCAGCCAGGTATAGGTGTGTTTAGAAACTGTAGACAGAGTAATGAGGTACCTTTTGTGGATTCCCTCTTACATTATTGGCTTTCAGATGCATGATGGAACTGATGAATTGGCGTATTTCTTCAAGGAGATATTATTATTGTAATAAAAAAGAAGCGCTAAGCCACAAGGGCTATACAGCCTTCAAGGAGATAGTAAATGACAACTTTAGATTATCAGCTAGTAGTCTGAAGATAATAATGCGAAAATAACTTCAACTGAACTGCATTAACTTAAGACAGTGAGAGACTGACACCAGTCAGTTCATCTATCATCACTCTATCGTGCAAAAAGAGACACTTTAGTATGTCCAACAAAATCAGAAGATACTTGAATGTCACCAATGCCCAGCCCAGGCTAGGCTAGGCTTTGCTAGGCTAGGCTAGGCTTGGCTAGGCTTGGCTAGGCTAGGCTTGGCTAGGCTAGGCTAGGCTAGGCTAGACTTGGCTTGGCTAGGCTAGGCTAGGCTAGACTTGGCTAGGCTAGGCTAGGCTAGGCTAGACTTGGCTTGGCTAAGCTAGGCTACAAGTATCTCTTGGACGTCTGCACCACAGCCCATGTAGACATAACCGAAAGTAAATTTTGTCAGAGGAACTGTTACACTCTGCATCATTATTTGCTGGAATGCTAAAAAAAATAATGAATTCAAAGTCATCTTATACATATTACCGGTATTCTTAAAAAAAATACCACGACTTTGCCTCTCGTAAATTACTCGTAATTACTTCATAACCTCACAAAACTATACTCTAAAATTTTGTGACTGAATTCATGAGTGTAGTAAACTCAGTATCATTCTTTGAATTTAATAAGTTTTGTAAATAGTTCATCGTCAGTGTAACTTGCGTAGCAAACAAATATTAAGGTCCAGTCCTTGGACTCACTGTGTCCCTCTGATGTTTTTGACTACCACCCTCAGGAGGAGTATGACGTGTATAATAAAGATATCAGTCTAAATAAAGAAATTGCAATTGCATATTACAGTCTGAGAATCAATATTTGCACCAATAACTCGTTACAGTTGTGACCGTGTGTAGAAGTGTCAATTGCTCATTACTCTATAATTTGTTCATGATTGTACCCATGTATAAACGTAAGTAACCATTCTTACAGGATTCATTACCTTTGTAACTTGTGAGTTCATTACCTTTGTACCTAGTTCAGCTATCAAAACTTTGGGGGCCCAGTCCCTGGACCCATTGCGTACCTCTGTAATCTGTAAATACCTTTGTAACTTGTCATGATTGTGACTAGACCTACCTGGAGTTCATTACCTTTGTAAATTGTGAGTTCATTACCTTTGTAAATTGTGAATTCATTACCTTTGTAAACTGTGAGTTCATTACCTCTGTAACTTGCTCAGCTTTCAAAACTTTGGAGTCCAGTCCCTGGACCAATTATGTACCTCTGTAATCTTTTGACTACCGCTCACAGGATGGGTATGGGGTGCATAATAAACATATTAAACTAAGAGTCTGAGAAATGGGAAACAATGAAGTTTGAGCCAAGAAGGGAGCAGTCTAACTTCAGTTGCTTGACTCAAAAGTCCTTCATGTAAAGCATTCCCCTTAGAAGGGTATTAATAAAATTAGCAAATCGTAGGCTAACAAGCCCAATAAAAAAGAATTTAAATCTTTCTTTAATGCATTTATCACACAGAATTCAATATTTCATTATCATAACATCTACCTCTGTAACTTGCTCAGCTATCAAAACTTTGGAGTCCAGTCCCTGGACCAATTATGTACTTCTGTAATCTTTTGACTACCACCCATAGGATGGGTATGGGGTGCATAATAAACATATTAAACTAACTCATCTTACAGGGCCTTTCCGATTTCATCATTGAAGATGTACGAGTGAACGTCCAGTTACTGACAGTGATAGTGAGTCTTGGATATGACACCCTGCTGCTGGATGGAGAGTATGACCTCCAGGGTAAACTGGTGAAAGTAATACCCATCTCTGCTCGAGGACCATTCACTGTCACTACCAATAATGCCAAGGTCAGTAACGGCACTCCAATGAGTCACATTCATGTTACTTGGTTATCCTCGGTTATGTATACAAAATGTAATAAATTTGGTAACAGCCTGGTTGATCAGACCCTGATCCACCATGAGGCCTGGTCACAGACCGGGCCGCGGGGGCGTTTACCCCCGAAACCCTCTCCAGGTAAACTCCAGGTAAACCTGGACACATAATAAGTGTGTGCCCTCAACACCATTCCAACAATTTAAATTTTGTAAAACTTGAATGAAAACATAAACTGAAGAACAAACTTCTTTTACTCAACGTTTCGCCCTGTGTTGAGCTTTATCCAGTCATTGTTAATCTGTACCAGTAATAGCTCGTTCTGAAACTTGTCTTAGTATTTATACTTTGATGAAATACGTCTGGAGTTTACCTGGAGAGAATTCCGGGGGTCAACGCCCCCGCGGCCCGGTCTGTGACCAGGCCTCCTGGTGGATCAGAGCCAGATCAACCAGGCTGTTACTGCTGGCTGCACGCAAACCAACGTACGAGCCACAGCCCGGCTGGTCAGGAACCGACTTTAGGTGCTTGTCCAGTGCCAGCTTGAAGACTGCCAGGGGTCTGTTGGTAATCCCCCTTATGTATGCTGGGAGGCAGTTGAACAGTCTCGGGCCCCTGACACTTATTGTATGGTCTCTTAACGTGCTAGTGACACCCCTGCTTTTCATTGGGGGATGTTGCATCGTCTGCCAAGTCTTTTGCTTTCGTAGTGAGTGATTTTCGTGTGCAAGTTCGGTACTAGTCCCTCTAGGATTTTCCAGGTGTATATAATCATGTATCTCTCCCGCCTGCGTTCCAGGGAATACAGGTTTAGAACCTCAAGCGCTCCCAGTAATTGAGGTGTTTTATCTCCGTTATGCGCGCCGTGAAGGTTCTCTGTACATTTTCTAGGTCAGCAATTTCACCTGCCTTGAAAGGTGCTGTTAGTGTGCAGCAATATTCCAGCCTAGATAGAACAAGTGACCTGAAGAGTGTCATCATGGGCTTGGCCTCCCTAGTTTTGAAGGTTCTCATTATCCATCCTGTCATTTTTCTAGCAGATGCGATTGATACAATGTTATGGTCCTGAAGGTGAGATCCTCCGACATGATCACTCCCAGGTCTTTGGCCCTTGGTGTTTCGCTCTATTTTGTGGCCAGAATTTGTTTTGTACTCTGATGAAGATTTAATTTCCTCGTGTTTACCATATCTGAGTAATTGAAATTTATCATCGTTGAACTTCATATTGTTTTCTGCAGCCCACTGAAAGATTTGGTTGATGTCCGCCTGGAGCCTTGCAGTGTCTGCAATGGAAGACACTGTCATGCAGATTCGGGTGTCATCTGCAAAGGAAGACACGGTGCTGTGGCTGACATCCTTGTCTATGTCAGATATGAGGATAACGAACAAGATGGGAGCGAGTACTGTGCCTTGTGGAACAGAGCTTTTCAGTCAGTTTATCCACTTGCATCCCAAACTTAACTGTTGTCTTAACACCTGCATCCCTAACTTAACTGCTGTCTTAATAAACTGTTGTCTTAACACCTGCATCCTTAACTGCTGTCTTAACACCTGCATCCCTAACTAAACTGCTGTCTTAATAAACTGTTGTCTTAACACCTGCATCCCTAACTAAACTGCTGTCTTATTAAACTTGTCTTAACACATGCATCCCTAACTAAACTGTTGTCTTAACACCTGCATATCTAACTTAACTGCTGTCTTAACACCTACATCCCTAGCTAAACTGCTGTCTTAACACCTGCATCCCTAACTAAACTGTTGTCTTAACACCTGCATCCCTAACTGAACTGTTGTCTTAACACCTGCATCCATAACTAAACTGTTGTCTTAACACCTGCATCCCTAACTGAACTGTTGTCTTAACACCTGCATCCTAACTAAACTGCTGTCTTAACACTTGCATCCCTAGCTAAACTGCTGTCTTAACACCTGCATCCCTAAATGAACTGCTGTCTTAACACCTGCATCCATAACTAAACTGTTGTCTTAACACCCGCATCCATAACTAAACTGTTGTCTTAACACCTGCATCCCTAGCTAAACTGCTGTCTTAACACCTGCATCCCTAACTGAACTGCTGTCTTAACACCTGCATCCATAACTAAACTGTTGTCTTAACACCTGCATCCCTAACTGAACTGCTGTCTTAACACCTGCATCCCTAGCTAAACTGCTGTCTTAACACCTGCATCCATAACTAAATTGCTGTCTTAACACCTGCATCCCTAACTAAACGTTGTCTTAACGCCTGCATCCCTAACTAAACTGTTGTCTTAACACCTGCATCCATAACTAAACTGCTGTCTTAACACCTGCATCCAAAACTAAACTGCTGTCTTAACACCTGCATCCCTAACTAAACTGCTGTCTTAACACCTGCATCCATAACTAAACTGCTATCTTAACACCTGCATCCATAACTAAACTGCTGTCTTAACACCTGCATCCCTAACTAAACGTTGTCTTAACACCTGCATCCCTAACTAAACTGCTGTCTTAACACCTGCATCCCTAGCTAAACTGCTGTCTTAACATCTGCATCCATAACTAAATTGCTGTCTTAACACCTGCATCCCTAACTAAACTGTTGTCTTAACACCTGCGTCCATAACTAAATTGCTGTCTTAACACCTGCATCCCTAACTAAACGTTGTCTTAACACCTGCATCCCTAACTAAACTGCTGTCTTAAGACCTGCATCCCTAGCTAAACTGCTGTCTTAACACCTGCATCCATAACTAAACTGTTGTCTTAACACCTGCATCCCTAACTGAACTGCTGTCTTAACACCTGCATCCCTAGCTAAACTGCTATCTTAACACCTGCATCCATAACTAAATTGCTGTCTTAACACCTGCATCCCTAAGTAAACTGTTGTCTTAACACCTGCGTCCATAACTAAATTGCTGTCTTAACACCTGCATCCCTAACTAAACGTTGTCTTAACACCTGCATCCCTAACTAAACTGCTGTCTTAACACCTGCATCCCTAACTAAACTGTTGTCTTAACACCTGCATCCCTAACTAAACTGCTGTCTTAACACCTGCATCCCTAACTAAACTGTTGTCTTAACACCTGCATCCCTAACTAAACTGCTGTCTTAACACCTGCATCCATAACTAAACTGCTGTCGTAACACCTGCATCCATAACTAAACTGCTGTCTTAACACCTGCATCCATAACTAAACTGCTGTCGTAACACCTGCATCCCTAACTAAACTGCTGTCTTCACAACACTTACAATGGTGTCTGTAATGGCTAAGAGATAAACCCGTATAGCTCATATGGGTTTTACTAAAGGAAGGGAAGGGGTAACTCCAGTACCTTGGATCAAAATCTCTTCACCATTATAGAGGCACTTTCCCCTCCCCCTCTCGAAGGAGTTAAAATTGAGTCGTTATTTAACATGCATTGTCTGGTGTTTATATTCCCTCCTGATAAAAAAAGTTATCGTAATCAGCCTACAGATAACAGCTGACAGGTGTTATCGTAGTTATGTGTAATAAAGGTAAGTAATCAGGTATAGATATAGGCGACTAATGAAATTATATATTTTATATGAAGCTTAATTTGTTTTATACTCAGTAAACGAAACTACTGCTGTTTATTCTGGTAACTCCTTATCCTCATCAGGTAACTTATAATTTTTTCAGGTAACTCCGTATCTTCTTTCCCGGGTTACAAGGTTCTGACCAGAGGTTTGGTAAGATGGGGGAGGAAGAAGGATGGGCAGGGATGGAATGTAGGAAAGGTTGGGGAGGGAGGAGGGGTAGGTGGGGTTATAAAAGGTTAGTGGCCTATCCACTTTGGTGTAATTTGAATACGCGTGTGTGCATATTGAGTAATTTATATAGAGGTTGGTTTTATGAGAGAGGTATACCTCCTGCCCATCAGTTGCACACTATTTTTTTTTTTTTTTTTTTTTTTTTTTTTTTTTTACGCAAGAGGTTGGTCAGAAGGCAGCAGCTGCAGGTGGTAGCTCCAGGTCATTTGATGGAGGTTGGTAGCTCACCTGGAGTTGGCTGGCAGCTCACCTGGAGTTGGCTGGCAGCTCACCTGGAGTTGGCTGGCTAAGCAGTGACTGAGGTGGTGTCCTGGAGGATCGTTGTAGGTGTAACAAGGTTAGTTGTCGGTTTTTCAAACCATTCATCACACATAGTTGTGAGGAGTTGGTTGATAGAAGTGGGTCACCCGGAAATGGGGAGCGTTAGTCCATGTTACTGGACATAGAATGGTTCTGGTGGTATCCATTCTTCTTCTGCGGGGAGGTCGCTTAAGATTTTCGGTCGTGTGAAGTTATCCTTGTGAATGAAGCGCCGAACCCTTTGCTGGAGGGTCATTCTTTGGGATCTGTGAGGAGGGGTGTTAATGATATAGTCGGTCGTGTTCACTGGTTGAAGGGGGTTCTCTCTGTCGGGCACATAGAGTTCCTGCATGTCATATAGTTGTCTCTTCGTTAGTCTGTCTAGCCGGACATTGATTTCAGTGATTCTCTGTTCTATGTGTAGGCCCTCGGTCCTGATTCTGTCTGAGTCTGGTGCCAGTGATGAAGCGGAGGGCTCTGTTTTGGACTCTTTGGAGTTTTAGCATGTTGGTTTTGGTTGTGAGCGACATGGGTACACAAGGGTATTCCAGCAGAGGTCTGATCATCATCCTGTACTGGTGTAGTTTGATGTGGGGAGGAGCTGCTTTGACTCGATCAAGTTGGCCAAGGTGGGCTTCGCTAGGTTTACTTTTTTTGTTATGTGGGATGTAGAGTTGAGTAATCTGTCGATCTCGTATCCTAGGATCTTGTTTGGATTCCTGATAGCAATTCTGGTGCCTCTGATGGAAATACCCCCTTTGTCTTCTATGGTTGATGGCAAGCACCCGATGGTGCTGATGAGGACTTTGTCTGGATTGGTTGTGATTCTCCATTTCTTCTCCCACCTGGCTGTTCTATTTAGTTCCTCATTCATTTTCTCTATTGCTCTCTTATGATTATTTGCACCAGCTGTGGGGGAAGAGGAGACAACATGGATAACATCGTCTGCAAATTGGGTGATGATGGTGTCGTTATGTTCAGGTTGGGGGAGGTCGTTGACGTATATGTTGAAGAAAGAAGAGCCTTGGGGTACTCCTGCTGATGGTGTGAAGGGAGTTGATTCCGCTCCATGGAAGGTGGGGGATGATTTTTCTTCCTGTTAAGAAGTTGTAGATGAGTCTGAGAAAGGTCCAGTTGTGATCAGGGAGGTCTACGAGTTTGTAAATGAGACCATCGTGCCATAGGCTGTCAAAGGCCTTGTGTACGTCCCTGGTGGCGATGTCTTCCCCGGGTAACTTCTCATCCTCTTCCAGGTAACTCTTCGCGTTAAGTTGAAAGAGTGTCAGGGGCGTCTGGAGGTGCGTGATTTGACGAGTGAGCTCATTTTGGAGAGCGTAAGGTGCCGCCTCTCTCACATGACTGGAGGAGCTCTGGTCAGTAAAGTCCTAAACACTCTACTGAGTGACCTGCTAAGGCGGGAGAAGCAACGTCTGGCACAGGACCTCAGCTTGGCACTTAAGACTTTGCTGAACAACGAACTCAAGAACTTCAATCTGGGTGTGTCCCTGCAACTCCTGCGGACCAGTGATAAGTACATGCGACGAGGATCCTTGTATTAATTAGTTTAATATCGGGTGATGAAGATTATTATATCCACGAGGAAGAAATAAATCAGTGAGGGTTAAGGAGCGCTTAGGGAATGGGAGGTCATCAGATTTAATTCAAGAGAAGGGTAACTAATTCATTAGCTTATAGAGACCTTCACCAGTATTAAAGCACTCCTTTGAGAGGTTATATCTATTATTATTATTATTATTATTATGTTCATGGGGAAACTCTAATCCATTAGGGGTCATGCAGTACCTGAGAAATGGGAGGTAATCTGGCTTGATCCAAGGATGGATAGGATGTTTCCAGTCCTCGGGTCAGGAGCACAGCGCCAGCATCAACCCCGTCCCCCGTGAAGAGATAACTAGATAAAGGCAGATTTTTCTGTTTCTTTCACTTTATATGACTAATTTTTCTTTTCCGCAATTTAAAGAAAATACTACAGTAACTTAAGTCAGATATAGACAAAATAGAAATGGATATTAAAAAGGTCAGCAATGTTTTGAGGTTCATAAATTTACCCGAAGCTCTATACAATATCTCTTATAAGTCAGTATTATAAGTCAGGTTTTTGTTATTTAGAAGTAATGTACATACATACATACACACACACACACACACACACACACACACACATATATATAATATATATATATATATATATATATATATATTAATATATATATATATATATATATATATATATATAAAACAAACTAGATATTATGTGTGTGTGTGTATGTGTGTGTGTGTGTGTGTGTGTGTGTGTGTGTGTGTGTGTGTGTGTGTGTGTGTGTGTGTGTGTGTGTGTGTGTGTGTGTATGTATGTGTGTGTGTGTGTGTGTGTGTGTGTGTGTGTGTATGTGTGTGTGTGTATGTGTGTGTGTTTGTATGTGCGTGTGTGTATGTGTGTGTGTTTGTATGTGTGTACTCACCTATTTGTACTCACCTATTTGTGGTTGCAGGGGTCGAGTCATAGCTCCTGGCCCTGCCTCTTCACTGATTGCTACTAGGTCCTCTCTCTCCCTGCCCCATAAGCTTTATCATACCTCGCCTTAAAACTATGTATGGTTTCCGCCTCCATTACGCCACTTTCTAGGCTATTCCATGGCCTGACTATGACAAGAAATACTTCCTAACATCCCTTTGATTCATCTGAGTCTTCAACTTCCAATTGTGACCTCTTGTGTCTGTGTCCCATCTCTGGAACATCCCGTCTTTGTCCACCTTGTCTATTCCGTGCAGTATTTTATATGTTGTTATCATGTCTCCCCTGACCCTCCTGACCTCCAGTGTCGTCAGGTCGATTTCCCTCAACCTTTCTTCGTAGGACAATCCCCTTAGCTCTGGGACTAGTCTTGTTGCAAACCCTTGCACTTTCTCTAATTTCTTGACGTGCTTGACTAGGTGTGGATTCCAAACTGGTGCTGCATACTCCAGTATGGGCCTGACGTAAATGGTATACAGAGTCTTGAACGAATCCTTACTGAGGTATCGGAACACTATCCGTAGGTTTGCCAGGCGCGCGTATGCTGCAGCAGTTATCTGATTGATGTGCGCCTCAGGAGATATGCTCGGTGTTATACTCACCCCCAGATCTTTTTCCTTGAGTGAGGTTTGCAGTCTTTGGCCATCTAAACTATATTGTGTCTGCGGTCTTCTTTGCCCTTCCCCAATCTTTATGACTTTGCATTTGGCAGGGTTAAACTCAAGGAGCCAGTTGCTGGACCAGGCTTGTAGCCTCTCCAGGTCTCTTTGTAGTCCTGCCTGATCCTCATCCGATTTGATTCTTCTCATTAACTTCGCATCATCTGCAAACAAGGACACTTCCGTTATGTCATTCACATATACCAAGAACAGCACAGGTCCTAGGACTGACCCCTGTGGAACCCCGCTTGTCACAGGCGCCCACTCTGACACCTCGTCACGTACCATGACTCGTTGTTGCCTCCCTGTCAGGTATTCTCTGATCCATTGCAGTGCCTTTCCTGTTATGTGTGCCTGATCCTCTAGCTTTTGCAGCAACCTCTTGTGAGGAACTGTGTCGAAGGCCTTCTTGGAGTCCAAAAAAATGCAGTCGATCCACCCCTCTCTCTCTTGTCTTACTTCTGTCACCTTGTCATAAAACTCCAGTAGGTTTGTGACACAGGATTTTCCTTCCCTGAAACCGTGCTGGTTGTCAATTATACACTTGTTTCTTTCCAGGTGCTCCACCACTCTCCTCCTGATGATCTTCTCCATGACTTTGCATATTAAACACGTTAGTGATACAGGTCTGTAGTTTAGTGCCTCGTGTCTGTCTCCCTTTTCAAAAATTGGGACTACATTTGCCATCTTCCATACCTCAGGGAGTTGGCCAGTTTCAATTGATGTGTTGAAGATCTTTGTTAATGGCACACACAATATCTCTGCTCCCTCTTTAAGGACCCACGGAGAGATGTTGTCTGGTCCCACCGCCTTTGAGGTGTCAAGTTCGCATAGCAGCTTCTTCACCTCCTCCTTGGTTATACGTACCTCATCCAGCACTTGCTGGTGTACCCCCCTGTTCTGATTTCCTGGAGTCCTACTGGTTTCCACTGTAAATACTTCTTTAAATCTCGTGTTGAGCTCCTGACATACCTCTCGGTCGTTTCTTGTGAACTCCCCATCACCCTTCCTCAGTCTGATTACCTGGTCCTTGACTGTTGTTTTCCTCCTGAAGTGGCTGTACAACAGCTTCGGGTCAGACTTGACTTTCGATGCTATGTCATTTTCATATTGTCGCTGAGCCTCCCTTATCTATGCATATTCGTTTCTGGCTCTTTGGCTAATCTCTTTATTTTCCTGAGTTCTCTGTCTTCTGTACCTTTTCCATTCTCTAGTACACCTAGTTTTTGCCTCCCTACACCTTTGGGTGAACCAAGGACTCGTTCTGTTCTTCCCATTATTTCTGTATCCCTTGGGAACAAACCTCTCCTCTGCCTCCTTGCATTTTGTTGCCACATAGTCCATCATTTCTTGTACTGGTTTTCCTGTCAGTTCCCTCTCCCACTGAATGTCTTGCAGGAAGTTCCTCATCCCTGAGTAGTTTCCCCTTTTGTAGTTTGGTTTTTCCCCAGCCTGTTCCTGCTACTCTCTCCACTTGAAGCTCAACTATGTAGTCGAAGCACAGAACCACATGATCACTAGCTCCCAGGGGTCTTTCATACATGATATCCTCGATGTCCGAACTACTCAAGGTGAATACAAGGTCCAGTCTTGCTGGTTCATCCTCTTCTTTCTCTCTGGTAGTGTCTCTAACATGTTGATGCATGAGGTTTTCCAGTACCACATCCATCATCTTGGCTCTCCATGTTTTGGGACCCCCATGGGGCTCCAGGTTTTCCCAGTCAATCTCCTTGTGATTAAAATCACCCATAACTAGTAACTTTGCTCCCTCCATGTGTGCTCTCCTGGCCACCTCGGCTAGTGTGTCGACCATTGCTCTGTTGCTCTCATCGTATTCTTCTCTTGGCCTCCTGCAGTTCTGTGGTGGGTTGTACATTACTGCAATTATCACCTTATGTCCCTCAGACTGGATTGTTCCTACTAAGTAGTTCCTTTCGCTCGTGCCATCCATTCCTTCCATTTTCTCAAAACCCCACTGGTTTTTAATGAGCAGTGCAACTCCTCCTCCCCCTCTCCTCCCTCTGTCTTTCCTGAGGATTTAATATCCGGATGGAAAGATTGAATCTGTTATTATTCTGGTGAGTTTTGTTTCTGTGAGTGCTATTATGTCTGGGTGTGTGTGTGTGTGTGTGTGTGTTTGTGTAGCAATAATAAATAATTAAGCTGGTCAGTTAAGTAAAAATTACTGAAGGTTATTAATAAAATATTATTTTACCTTTAATAAGCTTCAGTTAACATTTGTAATATATAAATAAATAATCATGAAATAATGTGCCAACATATTGATCAAATTTATCTACGAAATCAATAATCTGATAAATGCAACTGTAATGTACTGACCTAGCTGTGGTTGCAGGGGTCGATCCTCAGCTCCTGGCCCCTTGTGATCCGAGGTTACAATGGAGTAAGTTCATCTATGCATAATTATATGCATTTAAATAATCCTTTTATTGTTGAGTAAAAAAATCTAGACTGTTGTAGAGTTTATATTAGCTATTAATTTATTAAGAAGCTCTAATTTTTTATAAATTTTGAGTGTAAAAAGTCTGCCTTATTTAACAGATTCTTATTATAGATACATTTTTGTGAAAAAATGAATAAGCCTTTTTTATGTAACCAATAGACATGATTATACACTAGTCTGCACATTTCTTTAGTGGTAAGTGTTAATAGCATTTATATGTACAAATATACATTATATATTTGTTTGTGTGTTCGAAGCGTTACATTTACCTGTTAATTTCATTGTGCAGGTGTGTGAGGCAGAGGTGTTCCTTTTAGAAGTGTACAACACTTATATCATAATATTCTTTTATATATGACACAAGGCAAAGCCTAATACAAAAGATGACAGAAAGTACAACCTTCTTGTCTCCTTGGCCTATACTGTTTATCTAGTCTAAGGTATTAATTCTGACCATAATTATTTGATGTTAGCTAGCATCCTGTCTCTCTAGTATATATGTTGAAGGTTGTATTTCAAGTAGGGGTTAAACAAGCGCAGTTCATCTTGCATTTTCATGTTATAGAAATATAGAATCTTATATGAAAGAATTCATTGATACAGTCAGTGTCCGACTTACTGACAAAATTACCCGGGTTTGATAACTCGGTGAGTCCAGATACATGGGCAAGTCTTTTTACACCTGTCCATGTTTACCAGTAATATTTAGGAATTAATTGAGTGTCGCAGCCTGGAAAAAGACTGGAGGGATTGAAATTAAATAAGCCACATTGCCTGGCTTGATTGTGTTATCCTGAGTTAATAACCTGTCAGGGTTGATAATCCAAAGAATGTCCACTTCAGGAAGCTCAATAACCATTACTGTACTATAATATCAGCCCTTTATATGTTTATTTAGAAGACAAGTAAATGTAGCAAAAACATACTAAACTATGCTTATAGAGTGTATAAAGGCCAAGAGGGAAGGGGGTTGCTTTCCTCTTTGACCTTTGGAATTTACCCTCTTGAATGCCCATAGTGTCCTTGTGACTGTCTTAAAATTTGTCATTGTCAAAAGTACTGATTTCTGAGTAACAAATACTATTTAGTTAGCGAATAGTTTTTAACACTGCTAATGTTATTCTTTCCCTGAATAACACTTTTTAAAGATAACCTCTGCCTTAAATCCTATGAAAGCCAGAATAATGATGTAGGAGTATAGATGTGATCACAACTGTAATAATAATGTATGCAGACTCTAGCAGGTATCCTGTAAGCTTAGAAGACAGCTATGATGGGTCAAAAGTGATTTTATTTGCTGTAATTTTGACCCTCAATTTTTATAATTCGTTAGCAAAGTAATTTTTATCAAGAAACATTAGATGAGTTAACTTTAATAACCGTATGTTAATAATCTGTGTATATAAGTCGTAGAATAAGAAAATACAGAGATAACAAAAAATGTGCAAGTACAGTAGCTTTTCAGTGAAATGTTCGATCAGTATTAATACAACAGTATTTTTAAATATGCA